ACTCTTTCCACTTCCTGCACCACTGTGATTACTCTGACGTCACATTGAACCCCCTGCCTCAGCCAAGCCCCCGCTCACCCCCTTCATCAGCTGCTCAGAGCCCCCACTTGTCCTACCACGGGGCTCATTGTGCTGTCCCCATGCACACCAGATCTGGTCCCTCGGACAGCAGAACTGGGCCCAGGGAGGCCAGAAGAGGTCCAGCCCTGCCCCAGTCAGCAGCTCCAAGTCCCACAGGAGCTGAAAAAAGATGGGGTGCCAGGATGTGAGGGCGTACCCACCCTGCCCTCTGCCACACCCCCAGCCAGATCCTACCTGCTCCTGGGCCCGCCGGCTCCGTTCCATCTCCAGGAGCACAGTGAGCAACTCCAGACCTGAGGGACAGGCCCGGCCATCTTGCACCTGGGGAGGCAGGGTGGAGTCAGGCCCCACGGAGAGCCTGGCCCCTTGAAGACAGTGGCCTGCCTGCCTCACCTGTCGCAGTGCAGCCTGGAGCTGGCCCAGGCCTGCAGGGCACCGGAAGAGGTGCTGGTACAGAGCCAAGGCCTGTTTGGGGCTACAAGGGAGCCCTCGGCCCCCAGGTGCGCCTGCCTGTGCCATGGAGTGGGGAGTTGGAACAGGTGTCCCCTCCCTGCTCTCCCCGCACCACTGGAGACTGGAGAGAGGAGGACTAGGAGCTGAGCACAGGAGCAAGGAGGAGACAAAGCTCCTGAGCTCAATAATGCAGGACCCTGACATCTGAGCCAGGGCCTGGACCCCAGCCAAGTTTTATAGGGACTCTGGCCTGACTCTGAAAAGGATTTCTTGGCCATGGGGTGGCAGTGTAGGAGTGTAGGGTTAGGAGTGTGATCCAGCCAGAGAGAGGTGTGTGCATGTTTGTCTGCAGTTCCGAATGAGTATCGGTTTTATATCTACATACGTATACACACATACGAAGATGCATTATATGGGCATATAATAGGCCCAGTGTGGGCAGCAGCCACCAGGAGCTGACTAGGGCACGGATGCTCCGTATATGTGACCTTCCTCGCAGCAACTCTGTGAAGTAGGTGCTATCATTCTTATCCTCATTTTACAGATCAGAAAGCTGGGCCTCGGAGAGAAAGCTGCCTTAACTAACGTGAGGCACCGTCTCCCTCATCTGGAGATGAATGGCTGTGACAAACAGGCCCTGGCAAAACGGTCTCTGAGTGCGAGCCATAACAGGCAGGACAGTGGCAAGTGCTCCCTAATGCTGGCTCCAAGCTGCCCACATGCAGGGCGCTATTCGTGGGTCACTCTGCTTATTCCTTGCAATACCCAAGATACAGTCAATGAGGACAGTCTGTATAAATCCTAACTAGAGGAGGGAATGAATCTTTGCAGCCTCGCCTGCCTGCGGCTCAGTGAGAGAAGGGAGCCAGCTCCCCACTCCGGGCCCCCGAGAGCAGCCTCAGCAGAAGTGGGCAGAGCAAGCAGGCAGATGATCTCAGTTCAGCCCAACACTCTCCCTTTACTCCTGTTGAAATATTAGGGACCCAGCAATGAGAATACGGTCCCCCTTGATCTTTTAGCCTAGGTCTCTAACACACCAAGGTTGCACAGCTGGTAGGTGGCAAAAAGAACTCAAATTAGAGTTCTCTTTAAAGAGAGCTTTCTTTTCAAATAAATAGTTTTTCTATTTCAAACCCATGTTCTTTCCCCTACAAGGATTTCTTCGAAAGTTGCATGTGTGTCCCCTGCCCACATACCCATCAGGGGTAGGTGTGGCTGTGAATGCAAGCAGCTGTGCACACGTGCTGTACGTGTTTATCTGGGTTTCTGGGGTGTGTGTGTATACATGCACATGTGTCCATATTTCATCAAGGTCCTGGTCCCCACCCCAGGCATGGGGTCCCTGTGTCACTAGCTCTCAGAGTGGCCATAGAGGCCACCGAGTACTTGGTATACCCCAAACCAAGAAGAAAAAGTATGTCCTGTGGGAACTGAGCCTCGTCTTCCATGCACCTCAGCCCCTGCAGGATTCCACCTGGATCCACAGCGGGTCCCATGAGGGCCAAGGGCCATGCCGGCTATATGTTTACACAGGGCTGGGACCAGGACACCCGGGTCCTCCTTCTGCCTACTGCACGGCAGCACAGGGGTGTGGCAGGTGGGGGCAGTGCAGAATGCGGGCACAAGGAGTGAGCAAGGTCTAGGGCTGAATCCCCACAGCTGCTACCACTTTGACTCTGGGGACACTGACCTCTAGCCCCCATGTTCCAGCAGCTCATGTCACCACCCTAGTAGGAAGCACACACACACAGTGGCCTCAGGGCAGGCCCCAAGTTTACTGCTTCTGACTCAACACAGCCGGGGTCTTTGTGAGACACAGGCCCAGGCTCTCAGTGCCCAGGAGCTGTGGTGAGGTTGGAAGCTGCTCTCTAAGGGGATGATGAGTCCTGGTCGGTGCCGTCCTGGATCAGGGTGCCCCCTGGGGCTCCCGCCTGGGGCTGGGCACAGTGCTGGGTGGCTGGGTTCCAGTGAGTAGGACTGGGGGGCAGGCCTCAGGTGGGATGCAGTGGGCTTCATGCTCTACCAGGCCTGCGGGGCACTGGCAGCCAGGAACGCAGGGCCTCACACAGTGGGCCGCCAGCTCCCCCAGAGGGACGTGCTGGTTGAAGCAGGTACGTGGACAGGGCGGGCCACATTCATCGAATACGAAGCCACGGTCCAGGGGACAGCCCACCACTGCAGGTGCAGTAGAAGACAAGGTCACAGTGCTCCAGTTGCTCTGCTCGCCCCTTGTGGCCCTCCCCGTACCTCCCCTGTCCAGGCCTGAGCCCTCTGTACCCACCCTTCCCTGTCCCACACTGGGCATTGCCCCCTCACCACAGAGTGTGGGGCCCCGCCAGGCAGGCGTCACCCCTGCCTGGCGACAGTGGCTGGCATAGGCTTCCAGAGCATCACAGAGGCAGGCATCAGCTGAGGAGCCAGGGCCACAGGCACACAGGTCATACACGCAGGCAGCAAAGAAGGGCTCTGGTGGCACCACAACGTGGCAGCGACTGAATGGGGAGGACTTCAGCACCCCACACCGGGCATTGGCGTCACGCCTGGCACGGTAACCTGCCGTCCGGCACGGATCCACCTCTTGGCCTTTGGAACAGGGCCGACCAGGTCCTGGCCCCTCTGGGACCTAGGTGAGGAAAGTAGCTCTGGTGTGACAGCGTCTACTAGCAGCTAAAATTTGTGTGCTGTCCTTCAAAGCAATTTCTACCCAACGTTTTGTTTTAGCCTCAAAAACCTCCTTACGAGAACAGCAAAGGAAGCATCAGCCACTTTTCCTTTGTCCCCATTTTGGGGACAAAAACGAACACCCAGAGCAGGCAAGTAATTTGTTCAGGGTCACACAGCCCGTGAGTAGCAAAGCAGGGGTTGGGGAATCAGACGATGAGACTTTTTCAGCCATCCTGCCTCCCCTAGCTCCATGGCAGGCAAGAAGCCCCAGACCACCCTGAAAACCAAAAGGCCTGTCTTGTGTCTACCCTCCTACTCCCGTTTCCATACCGGAGGGCTGCTCTGAGGCTCATGCTCAACTGTGCGCTCTCCAACCTCCCATCCGGGATCCTGTACCACTCACCTGCCAGCTATTCCCAAATGCAGCCTCAGTGGGCAGGAGCAGCCCCTCGGGGCCCTGCAGATCATCCTGGGCGAAGCCATTGAAGTTCCCACAAAGCCCACAAATCTGGCCCCGGTAGGAACCTGGCACGTTCACCTCCACCTGGGACTGCCCATCCCACAGCACCTGCGCAGAGAGGCTGGGACTGGGGAGTGGGGAAAAATAGGGACCCCAGGAAGCCCACGGTCCATCCAGTCCACATTCTCTGTGTCCGCCCGCCCCCTGGTGTCGGAGAGGAGAATGGGCGGATGGAAGCCAGGCTGCTCTGACCAAGGCCAAGTCTGCACATGCTCTGGGAGCTGTGAAGAGCCACCCACAGGCCCCAGGAAGGCACCTTCTCCTGAGATTCACTATCTCGTGGGCATTCGGGCCTTACAGAGGACAAAACACAATTAGAGTCTGGATTGTAAGTGTAGACAAGTCTTATTTTTACATTTTTTTTCACCTATAGCACCCAGTCTTCCTACGTGGTCTCCCATCCAAGTACTACCCAGGCCCGACCCTGCTTAGCTTCCGAGATCAGACGGGATCCGGCGTGTTCAGGGTGCCATGGACGTAGACGACAAATCTTATTTTATGAATTTACAAATTATGCTTTTTGCTGGGGGCAGGGAAGTGAATTACTTTGACATGGAAGGAACCCTGAACCGCCTAGGAGACCTTAGTTGACATTCCCTCCCTATTAACCCTTCCCCCATTTTACCAATGAGGAAATTGAGGCCCAGAGAGGACTGGTACTGGCCTAAGAGCCCCAGTGTGTTGGTGGCTGAGTCAAGGTTAGAAACCAGGCTCAGAACTCCTTTCAGTGCACCTGGAGGTCTCGGACCCTGATTCCTCTCCTCCCCTCAGAATCTAGCAGAACTCTCTCACCTCTCTGGCTTCGTTTGGCCGGGGACATAGCTCGTATTCCTACTTTCTCTACAGATAACAGAAGCCTGAGCAGGCCCAAGGCTCCCCAGCCACACTCGCCCTGGCCGCACCTGGAGCCCCGGCTGGGCGTGCAGGATCACAGTGCGTCCCCGCAGCTCCACGTACAGCAGCCGCTCCTTCAGGAAGGGCAAGGTCTCGGGGCGTCCATCCACCTGGAGGAGAAGGGAGGCGGGAGGGGCGATCTCAGGAAAGACGAGTGGACAGCGTGAGACCCACCTTTCCCCGGGTCCTCAGCTCTGCTCACCGTGACCTTCCCGCCCTGCAGTAGCTGCACAACCATGTCTCCCAGAAGCACTGTCACCTCCTGTGTCCAGGCCACGCCGCTTCGGCCTCGGTCATCGTTGGTCACGTGCACGCTGTGGTGTGAGAGGCCCGGGTTCAGTGGTCAGCAAGGACGGGTGTAGGGGCTTAGGGAGAAGGCAGAGGGAGCTGTGCACCTGAAGTCCCCTCCACGGCAGTCCTTGGCCAGCACGTAGCTGCAGCTTCCTTGGAAGTGCAGCAGGCGGCCGTCGAAAGTGCGGTAATGAGGGTCTCCGAAGGCCATGCAGGAAGCGGGCCGGGGCAGGCAGTGGGGACAGCAGCTGCCGGGATTCAGGGCGGGGGCCTTGTCCTGGCCTCAGCCCCGGACGCGGTCAGACACGCCGCCCTCCGGGCGGAGCCGCACCCAGAGCCTTCCAGAGGACCGAGGAGCGCTCGTGCTCCTGGATTCACTGGAGGCGGACTCAGGGCACCACCTCGTGGCCACTCCAGGAACTGCAGGCCCCCGGGCCCCCCGCCGCCCGCTCCGGGCTCCCGCGGCACTCACCCGGCCACAGGAGATCGGCGGGCAGCGCTGGCTCTGGCAGCGCACAGTGCCAGCCACACAAGAGCAGCTGGTACAGGCGTCCACGACCCAGCCCTCCCCGGAGGCCACTTCTCGGCCCTGATGCGAGCACGTCTGGGCAGGAGCTGAAGGGACATTGCAGGGAAGGGGAGAGGATCAGCCGCCAGTCCCTCATACTGAGTCTCGCCCCTCCTCCCCCACATCGTCCTGACCCGCACCTTGGCATTGCTCGCAGCACCTGCCAGCCTCCAGCACCTTCGCCCAGCCGTGAGGGCAGGAGAGGGCCTGGCACTCCTCAAGGTGGCACTCCACTTGGCCCCACTGAAGACAGACGTCTTTGCTCTAGGGACTTCCAGCAGGGCTTGGGGTCTCTGGTCTCACACTTCTGGGGACCATCTGACTCAAGGTCTGAGGCAGCAGCCCCTTTTCTCTCTGCTCCTGCCCCACAAGGACACCCACTTCGTGACGAAGCGGGGGATGAAGTCCAACCCTCAGCTCTGCCCTAGCGCGGGGTACCTCTGCCCTTCTCGCCCGGCGCGGGCGCCCTTCTCTAATTACCTTAAAGACCGCATATTTGCTGGACCAGTGTCCTGAGG